TGAATTTTAAGTTTCTTTGGACTTTAACACCAAAAAGAGGAAACTCTTGAATGGAGACTTTGAGAAGGATTAGAGGTCATATGTTGCTAATTAAATTGTAAAGAAGAAATGAAAATAATACTAAGCTTTAGCTTAAACTTCCTTTGTATGTTGATGACAAGCCACATATGTGGAATTTAAAATGGATAATTTATTATATCCTTCTGCTTTATTGGAACAGCTCCAGTTGTATGGTAAAGACACAGGTGTGGCAAAGGAACAAGATATTCCAAACGTTGTGTTTTTAAAGGCCAAAAGAAAATGGATATCTTGTCCTTTGGCCTTCTAGTCATTAAAGATAGAACCACTTATATCTCTCAGAGGCCTATTTCTCATCTGCTTAGAGGCCCTGTTGTTTCAGCTATGACTATTGGAGAGAAAAAAATAGCAGGCAAGTCAAGTAGGCACTGGAAGGGCAGGATAGGTAATTTCTCAAGTACAGAGTCAGAGATAATTTATCACTTCTCAGCTCATGAAGCACACTTGGATATTTTGCTGAAGCTATCGCTGAAGGTTCCCAAATTAACAAACTTTAAGTCTCCAAACAGGTAAACAATATCCTTCTTGTATTGAAGGCTTCTAGATACGTATATCTCCTCTTCATAGGAGAAGAAAGGGTGATTCTTGACTGGGTATGCCTTTGCCTGGGAAGAATATGAGGAATTATAATAATTTCCTGTGTAAAGTGTTGAAGGGTCTTGAGTAACTAATATAAGCAGGAAACATTTTGTTTGCTTGGATTTATGTTTGTGAAGTCAGGAAACAGGTCAACATGTACTTCTCCTTCATCCTTTTCAAGGAGATTAGCAGTTAGAATATAAGAGATGTTACCTCAGAAGCCATTTTGTAATCATTGGTTACTGTTTTGAGTTTTGTTTCAGACAATAGGTAGATAGATAGACATAAAATATGATTGTATTCTCAGAGAGCATGTGGGCTGAAAGAAGGTCTGGCTTCATGTTTGAGATGAGTTACAGAGGGATTGGCTTCAATCCTGGGATAGCCAGGGATGTAGCTCAAGAGCATAGTGTCTGCCTGGCAATTACAAGGCCCTGAGTTTCCTTCCTGCTATCCCACAAAAAAATCAACTTTGGGATACTATGTATCTTAGATACAAGGAGTTGAATTATATAGTTTTGAACATTTATTTCAGAAGGTCATTTGATGAAAAAGCACAGAGAGCATCCAGCAGCTTTCATTTCCATTAGCTGTTCAAGTCAGAATCCTCCAGAATTCTTTGTTTAACAGGCAGTATTACCTTGCTTCACGCAAAGTATTTGATAGCCCTGAAATCTATAATGCGTTCTGCCACTATTTACATAAACTAAACAGTTTGTCAAATGATAGTAACTACTACTCATGGGTGCTTACTACATCTCCTCTATGGTTGGTGCCTTACAAGAAGATCATATTTTATCCTTACATAAACTTGAGCAGTAGAGATTCTTGTTATCATCATTCTCCATAGTTTCTCAGCTGAGAAAACTGACATTTAATAATTGTTTGAGGCAAATGATAATTAGTGGTAAAGGTTATGTTGGAATTGTGAAATGTTTCCAAAGTCTATGTATCTAAGCCTGGCAGTAGGCTGCTTCCACCCATATATTTTATAATGTGTTTCCAGGGCCCTTTTACAAAAAGAAAGCTAATTTGAATTATACCTACATTCTTTAATAAGATATTACAAAAACACAATGAGAGGACCATTATTCCATTCCATTCCATAAGCATTTTTTTATTGTATAATAATTTTATTTTTTCTCATTTTACTATTTTTACATTTTATGCACAAATATTTTTATCTGAGTAAAAATAGAAAATAACTGTTTCATGTAAAATTACAAAAAAAACACAAAGAAATACATAATTATTACTGTGATAGTATAAGTGTCTTTATTTAAAGAGTAAAAATGTATGCAAAAATCCTCCTCCCTTTTACAAAAGATTGAGAATTGAGAATATTTCTTCTGGCAACAAGTGAAATATTGAAGTATTAATATTTTATACATTCTAGATCTGAAGACATTAAGTCACAGAAGTTTGTTTTGCAATTATGAATTTTAAAACATTTTTGTGCTATATCAAAGATATACTAGTTGTTTATAAAAGGCAGTTGCATAAAATGATGAATGCAGAAAACAGACCACCTCACTGAAAACATTTGGAGGTGCAACTCTTCAAAAGAAATATTGTATTTGAGTTACCAGCATTAATCTGGGGAAAGTCCTTCCTTAGGAGCTGACATAGACTGACAGTGCAGTCAATGTGACAGGTTGGCTCCTAAGACCATCCATCGCATGTTACAACTCTGCCTAATGTGTCTGATTTTTCCAATTCCAACACGAATTTTCAGGCTAGCAAGACAAGTATGAAAGTTGTCTCAATGAAAAATTCTGATGGAAAAAGCTTTAAAAAACAAAGTATTTCACTGTTCTTCTACCTCCAAGATACAAAAGATTGGTAATTTTGTTTTCCTTTAAATATATTCTCTACATTCTCTTATGAATTCACAAAACAGCAAATGAATAGCTTGAATTATTTTTCTTTCATAACACAGGATATTTTTGAATAGAAGACTACTTAGCAAATGATGTCAATAAAAATAATAGAATTTTTTATATAATCCTATCAAGTGGAGAAATGAGTCACATGACCCATGGTACAGTACACAGAAAAGGTTGAAGAAAAAAGAAACTGGGTCAGGGATACAGCTCAGTGGCAGTGCCTGCATGGCAAGTGCAAGGTCCTGAGTTTGATTCCCAATACCAAAAAGCAAAACAAACAAAAAAGAGACAATATCTGATCATGTACAAGAACTGTTTGTTCAAATTATGAATAAAATAAAGAATACATAAGGAAGAAAATAGATAAAATGTAGTTAAAAAAAATCTGGGGAAGGCTTAAAACAAAACAAAAAAAACAAAACAAAACAAAAAAAAAAACCCTTACTTTTAGGAATCTAAAAGAAATGTGTGACTTTCTGCCTTGAAAACATATACACATACAGAAGACACATAAAATGTCTTCTTGGCTAAAACTTAAACATATAAGAATTTTCAATCTAAAAATCAAGATTCTCAAGCTTCTGATGAACCACAATAGTATATTTTTTAAATAAACTTCATTCAGGTAAGCTCCCTAGGCTGTTAGAAGATGGTGCAAAACCTTATTTATAGACACCTATTTGTTATCTGAAGTTAAGACTTTTAAAATATAAAATTTCATATTGTTATTCTACTCAGATATTCTTAAAAATCAGTGTCCAAAGAATACTAGTAATTTGTCTGTCTACTGTGTTTATAAAAAAGTAAAAATGAAAGATACAAATGTTATTTTTTTAGGTATTTATGACAGAATATTAAAGAATTTAATACAGTACAAATGAACTAACAATACATGCTATCGTTCTTTCGCATAGCATTTAAAATTACGACTTCAGTTACCAGAAAAGAAGATCAGAGAGCTTTCTTCCTTGTCCTTAGGATCCCCACTTCCTCAGACTCATTCCAAATCCCTATTTAATATTGGTAGTGCCACCTGGCCTATACCACCATGGTTCTTTCCTAATTAGTAAACAGCACTAACTAAGCTCTTATAATCCTTGGGGGATGCATTTAAGGAAATTATGAGGGAGAAGATGCATAGGGTAGGTAGTACTTGAGGAAGAACTTTCTGTTAGAAAAGCTATTTGCCAGTCTCTCATATCATGATTCATGCCTAAGGTCTTGAAACCAATAGTGAAAAGACATACTTTGTAGCCATTTCTACTTAGTGTGAGCTCTTAGTAGGGAATTTCATACAATTACTTAATTTTAAACATAAATTATTTACTATCCCTTTGAATATGTATGTCTTCATACATAATGTGGATGTACACAGAGACGAATTGGACATGTATGTATCCACATACAAGTACAAATACAATATCAAAGGGAAAAATAAGCAGGAAGTTTTGTTTTAAAGAGACTGCATAAAATGAAGATCGAATGTTTGCTTTTATAATGATTTGCAAGTAATTTATTAACACCTTGAAAGGTAAAGTATTGCTGTCAGATTTAAAGTCTTCATTTCATCAGAAACACAAGAATATTTAAGTTGTTTTGCACAATAAACAGGCACCATAGGCTAATTTTAAAAACAAAAAGGAGGTCAAACCAAATCAAACAACTTTTATTTTATGGCTGAGGTAAACTTTTCAATTTTTTTAAATCTCTGACAGGAAAAACAGAGATCATTTTAGGAGTTTTGCAATAGCTGGATTATTAGAATTGAATGCTTCTCTCAAAATAATTTAAACCCTTGGCCTGACATACTGAATAACCTACAGACAACCCTTAACACTGGCTGAGGTAAGCCAGATTTAAACCTGGATCTCTTTCTTTGCCAGTCAACTTTTTACTATCTTTTACTTGCAAATATATAAATTACCCTAGTAACCTGATACTCTTAGATTAGTTTATTAATATAAATTTATTTGAGATGAACATTTTAGCTCTGCTTGATTAGATGCAACAGGCACACATGCTTTAGCTGAGAAATTCCATTTTCTGGTTCTATGTAAAGCAACATCTAAAGCAGCAG